TAATTGGGATACTCTGGCTACCGAGCTTGTTCCAAAGACTTTATGTCTCTACTACCCACACCCTAGGAGTACAAGTAGGATGCCAGGCTTTTCCGCATTGAAGTGAGTGCTCTAGATCCAGCCTCTGGTTAACACAGTTACACATTAACTGAGCCATCTTTCTAGTGACAAACATGTTTTGCTTAGCACAATATCCTCAAGTTCTCTCTATGTTTTAGCATAGATCAGATTTTTGTCTGTTTCAAGGCTGCACAATATTTTACTGTGTGTGTATAATACATCTTATTTATTCATTCATCTAGTAGTCAACAAAGGTTGTTTCTAAATTTGAATATCATCAAAATTGTCATTTTGAGCATCATAATACAAGTGTCCCTTTGATAATTTGTCTCTCTTAAGCATGTATTGAAAACTGGAATTGCTAGTTATGTATGTTTACACAGGCCTATACTCACAGTCTTGGGAGGTGCAAGTAGATCAGATGTTCAAGGTCAATATCAGCTATATGACTTTGAGATCAGCTTAGAAATCATTAGTTCCTTTCACATGAAATGAGAAAAAAAGTGGAATTCCTGAGTTTTAGGATAACTCTTTTTTTTCCTTTTTTCATTTTGATGTAGCACCTTTCTGTTCCCTCACTCTGCCCTTTCACATTCCTACCATCAGCACACAAAGGCAACAAACTTTCCCAATAGTTGTCAATTCGCTGTTGCTTTTACTTATGCTTTAATTTAAAATAATTTAATTGTTTGAGCAAATATATAATAAATTTACATAATTCTGTGGTACCTTGTGACATCTTAACACATATACATGTGATATATATAAGTAACATATATATATATATATATGCATCACTTAAGTAATATTACCTATCTCATGGGATGCATCACTTCTTAATGGTGAAAACTTTAAAAAATAAAGAATTTTGGTTCTACTGACCAACCCTTCCGATGTTCCCATTCACTTTCCACCGTCTCTGTTAACTGCTATTTAACTGACTCCAAGAAAAGCAATATATGTAGACTCTGAAAATGAATAACATCATGTGATGATTAATATAATAATCTCCAATTCTACTTATCTTGTGGCAAATGACAACATTTGACCCTCTTTTGGTTACATGGTGCTCCATAAGTCATTGGTACCATGATTTCTTTTACTAGTTAGTCATCAGTTGATAGACACTTTTATGTTTCCATTTCTTGGAACTTATAAATAATAGAGAATTAATGTGAGATTTGAGTATTCTCTTCAGATTCTGATACATTTCTTTTTATTTAAAAATTTTCATATTATATATTTTGATCATATTCTCTACCCTCTCCCAATTCCTCCCAGATCCTCTACCTCCTACCCTCCCAACTTCATGAAAATTGTCGTTCTTTTTGGAATGGAGGATGTCTGGTAATGACTTAAATTCGTTTTAATTGATGAATAGTATTTTTGAGCACATTTTCAATTCATTTCAACTTTTTATATTACATAAGAATAAATTTCTATTCAAGTATTTTGTTAATTTTTAAGTCAGTTTTGTTATTTTTAGGTTATAATTTAAGTTAATTCAGCTGAGCACAATATTCAAATTCAAGGATTATTTTTCTCTCATCTGTGTGCTCACTATTAGCTTAGCCTCACCTTTGTAATGAAAACCCTCAAGTTTATCTGGTTGGCCTCTGTATTTGTTCATTTGTCTTTGCAATCTTCCCTGCATCTTCTCACAGTATTCTCATTTTGTCTTTTATAGGGTTTGTCTTTTATTATTCCATTGAGGAAAAACTCCAATATTATCTCAATATTGTTGCTTCTCCTTTTATATCTTGCCCTTTGAAAACATTGATTAAACATATTATGTTACTTATTACGTCTTCCAGACCCAGTTTCTAGCTTCCTATAGTTACTCTGGCTAAACTTTTGCTTTTCATTCTCCAGTTCATCAGGTTAACTATGTTCAGCTGATGTTTTTGATTATTGTGCAGAAAGTTTTTGAATTTTAAGACTCTTGGTTGGTTTGCTCTTCAGTTTTGTTCTTTCATTGTGTCTGTTTGGCTGCTTTGTCATTGTTCCTTTTTACTGTCACAATGAACTTCACCTATTGGCATATGAAAGTGTTATTTAGGACATTTATTCCACGAAATACTAAAATTTTCTCTTGATATAGAGGTATTCTAGCCTCCAATAAATTTAATTCTCCACCTGACAAGTGATTTTTTTTTGCCAATACCTAGTAGTGTATTCCTAATGGCATAAATTGTATGAAGATGCTCTGACATTTGCATATATTCAAAGAAATGAGAGAAAAATCTAGAGCAAAATGTTAATTCTTTTCAACAATTCTTTTTAAACACGAATGGTTTTCCCACTCACTAATATACTACTGATGTATAAAATCTTTCTAGCAATCCTGTGGTCATTTTGTATTGCTGTCACACTCATGAGGTACATTGTGCCAAACAGCAAATACCCCAGAAAAGTAGAGACCCTCTGTGTGGGTTTTGTATTGACGATTGCCACATTTCTGAACTCTCACTTGCTTACCTTTACAGCTTTAGCTGACATGCATTTGTGTGTGTGTGTAACATACAGACATATAACTATATTGTTATTTTGACAGAAATCTGAAAATTAAAATTTGTCATACACCAGAGGCTTTTGTGGTAGGGAAGGACTTTACAGAATATATCAGATATTGAGTTCAAGAGAGTTGGTTTCCCTCTGACAGAGGAAAGATGACTTTCTAAGATATTTGCTCAGAGTTATTGATATGACTTAACTACAAAACAGATGTTAGAGTCAAAATATATTGCCTCCATATTTTTATTGAAAAGAAGAAAGATGCAGTGATTTTTTTCTATTTTTCTTCAAGTTCTTCATCGACAGTTGTAGAGTTCTCTAAAACAATGAGTTGTGGGCTTTAGTTATAGAAAAACAAGCAAGTTGATTTTAAATATCAGACTGGTAACCCAAAATGCTATTGGGGTCCAAAACAATCACAAGGATATATGGTTGAGGTCGCTCAGATGTGTGCTCAGATAAAAAATGGCCTCAGATTCAAGCACTTTGACTTTATACTTGAGTTTGTAACTAATTGATATGCCCTTAAGATTCCAGATTAGACTTGTAGGTTAAAAGTGACTTAGTAAAAGTCACTACAAATTTTTACGTTGAGTGTATACTGCACATCTAAGGAAATATCCTTAGATGGAAATATATATTGATAATATATATGGAGAGTTGCTTTATTATCCAAGAAGGTTATATTCTCTAGGCCATATATTTAGTTCAATTAGTAAGCAATTTGAAACATTCTCAAAATCAGTGAGGTAAAACAAAAATATTTTATAAAACATGTCTTCTAGTAGAACAATATTACATCCTCTAAAGATTCCCAGAAATCCTCTGTTTTACTTCTAAGTTGCCTCAGGTTAAGATGAGCGAAGCAGCTGGAAAAAGAATCTATGTAGCTAATACTGAAAACAAAAAACAAACAAACAAAAAAAAAAACAATGCCACAGGGTTAGAGCATGAATCCAAACCTTATTCTTTTAGCACTGCCTCTCTGCAGTGAGCTCCAGAGGGTGGGGCAGGAGGAACACCCTGGGTGAGAGGGAAAGTCTAATTGCAAAGAAGTGTTGCATTTTTGTCTCAAAAACAACAAAAAATAAGTATGCAATTGTGCTGTAAAGTAAGCTCACATTCCGAATGTAGAGGTGTAGCAGTGGCATTCAGAAGGGGGTCCTACACAAGGAGCAGGCTAAGAATATGAAACTGGAAAGAACACCGCTGTAAGGTCCACACGGTTGAAGCCAGCCTTTCAGACCTTGAAAGCTTAGTAGTCAGGCAGCACCTGCCTCTGCTCCACAGCCCCAGCACAATAATTCCTGAATGCCAGGTCCTCTTCTGCTTTTTTAGCACATTTTGTAAGTCTGGAGTTTTCTACTTTAATGACATTTTCCCGTCTCAAAAAAAAAAAAAAGTCTAGTTTGCTAGCTCACGCTGAGTGGGAAGATATATTGATTCCAGGGGAGTGAAGCAGCTACTTGTGCTGGTCACTACTGGGGGGAAGCTCATGCCCGAGGCCCCTGAATTCTCACTGCTTCCACCTTCCTACATGCACGAACCAGCTTGCATTTTCACATATCCACCATAAGATCAAGGAACTGATGACCAAAGAACCCTAGAAGTACTATATGCTAGAAAACAGCAAAATGAAAACAGAGACAAGTTCAGGGTAGACTCTCATATGTCACAGATAGTTAAGAAAATGTTACAATTTGTAACAGTTCTTTTAGCATGTTTCTCTTTTTAAAATGTCCCTGTTGTGTTTAAGACACATCCCCATGCTTGTTTTTCAAGATGCCCAGTTCACTAAAAGCAGTGCTGTGACCCTCTTTAGTTGCATGGGATTCACAATTAATTAGGTTTCCGTCATTACTGCGGAGCTCACATTTGGAGTAATGGTAAAAAGTCTTGAGTTTTGTTCTCATATTACATTAAATTCCTGTTAAATGTCTGTTGAAAGGTGTTCAAGTCTGCTGGTTTGGGGGAAGGTTGAATTATTTTATTTCACATAAGCAACAAATCCGCACTTAAGACATCAAACAGCCCATTTTTTAATGACACACAGTCCTTTCTCCTTACAAGACTTGTGTGGTACCACCTGCAGGAACTATCATTCTCACTCAAGTCGTGGTCACCTCTGCCCACAAGACTTCTACTAGTGTCTGTTCAGCAGGGTTTACTGCTGAATCACTGACTGTTACTTTAATTTTGATGATAATTGTTGCTTCAGGTTTCCTAATGCCTCAGCAGTTAGACATTAATGATTATGCGTGCCCTAAGAAGTGTTGATAAGGGAATGAGATTATAATCTTGTACAATTTTAGCTGACAAATTAAAGTGTAAATTAGGTTTTCCCTTAGACAGAAAATAACTTACCTGAGGTATCAAGTGTATGTGAACCTTCGGTCACTCTCCATTTTCTTTATCCTGTTTTGCAGATATTCAGAGCATCAGAGGGTTAGCAGTGGACTGGGTTTCACGTAATTTATACTGGATTAGTTCAGAATTTGATGAAACACAAATTAACGTGGCCAGGCTAGACGGCTCTTTGAAAACCTCAATTATCCACGGAATCGATAAGCCACAGTGTCTGGCAGCTCACCCTGTCAGGGGGTAAAGTATGATTTTTTTTTAATTTACAAGGTTTTGGAATTTATCTCTGATTTTACATAAAATGATTGTTTAATTCAGATGATACATGTATTCAGCATAGAGTATGGAAATTTTTAAAGAGATTCAGAGTCCTTGTTAGAGATTTCTATCCAAATCAAATGCAATTTATAAGCTCTCATTAGTGTGTGTTTCTAGGGAATGAGAGTTTAGAACAAAAGGAGTTGCAGAGGAAAAGCAATTTCATTTTGAATGCTGGATGTGAAAACTTCCTTATGGAGTGGTCCCTGCAAAGCTAGCCTGCTCCTGTCTCTGGCGAGTCAAGGCAACTGTGTGATACCAAAGTTTTCACAAATGGTTGAAATGAGTTTCTTCCCATCTACAGATTCTAATTCCTTCTCAGCCAAGAGGATTCAGTTTTGATGAAGGAGAGAATGAGAGCAGTTTGCTGTAGTCTTGGTTAAGGATCAGACTTGGATGTAGAAGGAAAATGAGAATAAGATGAAATTTTTCAAAGAAAGGAAAAGGCGAAAGAGATGCTTTCCTCCTAGGAAAATGGCACAGGCACCCAACACCTTTAGGACTTTTGAAAAAAGAATTAAACTTGACCCTAGAATATATATTTTTTACTGTATTCTTTGCCACCACATACTTCCTTTTAATTAATGAATCTGAATATAATACCTAATCTATATCTTTTGAATTAAGGAAACTGTACTGGACAGATGGAAATACAATAAACATGGCAAATATGGATGGGAGTAATAGCAAGATTCTCTTTCAGAACCAAAAAGAACCAGTTGGTAAGTATTTTTTTGAATATTAATAGTAACAGGTTTAATGTGATACACTTGCATGACTTAGAACTAAACACCAAAAAGATTGCAGATGAGTAATACAAATTATCAAGTTAATTGGTCGCATGGAATCTGTTTTCTCTACATGAGATTTCTTTTGTGTGTGGGAGGGGTTGTTATCAAGCTTCCTTAGCACACAGACTGCCTGAGTGTCACTGTGGTAGCTTCGTATGTGCATATTATGGCATTCGATGAAGCTTCTACTTGCTCCCCTCCCTTTCCAGCTCTGCCACTGTCCTTCTGTTTTCATTTAATCTGTTAGAGTTACCTTCCCCTCTCATCTGAAGGAAGGGTTCTAATATTGCACTCAAAGCCAGAACCATAAGCAACTTGCACAGGAAAGGGGTTATTTCACGTCCGCTTTCACATCACAGTCCATCATCAAAGGAAGTCAGAGCAGGGACTCAAGACAGGACGCTGGAGGTAGGACCCGATGCATGGTCAGGTTCATTTTATTGGTTTGCCTTTATTGTCCTATAAATCTTGCTCAGCTTACTTTATTTCTTTTACTTCTTTTGGAGGGGGGTTCTCTGTGGCTTTGGAGGCTGCCCTAGCACTCACTCTTGTAGACCAGTCTGGTCTAGAACTCACAGAGATCTGCCTGCCTCTGCCTCCTGAGTGCTGGGACTAAATGTGTGCACCACCACCGCCCAGCTGCTCAGCTTACTTTCTTATACATCCCAAGACCACCTGCTGAGGAGTGGCTCCACCCATAATGGGCCAGCCCCTCCCATGCCACTTACTAATTAAGAAAACACACTACTCGCTTGCCCACAGGCCAGTCTGGTGGGGACATTATCTTAACTGAGCTTCTCTCTTCTCAAATGGCTCTAGCTTGTGTCAAGTCGACAAAACCGAACTGGAACACTTCCCTTTAGACCAATTCCTTTCTTCTTATGGATCCCTTTCCACTTTTATGTCATAAGCACAAAAAATATTTCCGTGTATGGAAGAAGATGTAGTGTAATATTTGTCTCTATGAGATCTTGGGTACCATCACTTCCCTTGCAGATGTCACCATTATATTCTGCATAAAGCCATAAACTCTGAATAAATTTCTATTCTATGTATGTGTCACATTTGACCAGTTCATCTGTTGATGAACCTCTACCCTAGTTTCCTCTCTTAGTTATTGTGAATAGTATAAGCTACATATAACTACAGATAGGTAAGTATTGCTGTGCTAAGCTGACTTAGCATCCTTCTGCTATATGCCCAGGACTGATGTAACTGAGTCATACCATACCGCTTTTCTTGGTTTGTTTTTTGTTTCTAATTTTAATATTATCCATTTTGTCTGCATACATTTACATGTATGTTCCTGTGTGAGGGAATGCATATATGTAAGCAAATGTGTGCATGTAAATGTGGAAGCCAGAGATCAGTTGATCTTACTCTTTAGAAATGGCACACTCAGTGTCTGAGGCTAAGAACTGAGGTTTCTGTGGATATTAGGCTGAGGATGGTCAAGGAGCTGTGGGGCTCTTCCTCTCTGTTCCTTAGCTCAGAGATTACTTGGGTAACACCACCACACCTGGATTCTTCATGGGTGCTGAGTATTGAATTCAGATCTTAATGTTCATGTGGCAAATGCTTTACTGGCTGGATCATCTCCTCAACTACTAAAGGGGTTTTTATTTCCATTTCTTCCGTGGGTAAGGATGTTGATCATTTTTCTCCACTGTTTGCTGGTAGTTTATTTCTTCTCTTGAGAAATATTAATTCAATTTATTAGGCCAAATATTGATGAGATATTTTGGCTGCTTTTTAATGTTGAAGCTTTGAAGTTATTTACATATTCTATATACTAACTCCCTGTCTAGTATGTAATTGTCATAATTTTTCTCCCAATGTGTATCTGTTTCTTCACTCTGACAGTCATTTCTTTCCAATATCATCAATCCTATTTGTTCTTAAGGTTATTTCCCTTTTGTAAGGTCCTTGTCCAGATCTATACTTGATATTTTATTTATATTTCCTTTTAGAAGTTTCAGGATTCCAGGAATTACATTACTATTTTTGATGCATTTTGAGTTCACTTTGTACAGGGTAGATATGGATATGCTACCAGTCTTTTGAATGTGACCATCTGGTTAAAACACTTGTTGAAAACGCTGTATGCTTCCCAGTGTATGCTGTAGGTAAAATGAGTTTCAACACAGGAAAAGTCCTCATGACTCCAGCAAAAATGACTCTTAAAACTTGTAATATAACTTTAGCAAAATAGGAAGATAAAAAAGTCAAGATATAGCAGTCAGTAGCTTAGAAGAAAATTTTTGCTTAGAATGTGGGAGGTACCATAACAAAAGCAATGAGAAGAGTCAGCTTTATGACACCAAAGAAAGGAACTGAAGAAGACAGAAAGATGGAGAGACTTTCCATATTTATGTGGTTGGTGACCAATAATGTAGAAATAAATTTATTCCAGAAGTGACCTACACTTTTAATATAATGCCCATCAATATTCCCATTACATTCTTCATAGGACTAAAAAGTTAATCTGAGAATATCCATGGAAGCATACAGAATTCAAAATAGCCAAAGCAATTCTGGCAGGAAGAGAGGAGCTAGATGTATCACTGTGCCCAATCCCAAACTACAACATATAGCTACAATAACAAAAAAAGATGTAGACATAAACCTAATAAATTCTTAAGAGCTCTTTGATTAGGTCTAGGATCCTATTTATTACACGAACTAATTAACAAGTGAAAATTCTAAAAGCTTGGTGAAATTCTCATGAAAATATAGATCTTCTGGTAATCGTGAATTCCAAAAAATGTTCAAGCATATTTAACTTTAGACAAAGAACAGCTAATTTGGAAGGAAAGTGCAACAGGGGAAACCTGTGCCATTGCTGTGCTACATACATGTAACAGATATATGTAGATGGAATATATGGGACAGAGGACAACTCAGAGTTTATTTATTCAGAATCATTGTAACCAAGTTTCCAATTTGTAGTGACCAGAATCCTTCTACCTTGATCCATGAAGGGTAAGTGTCATCAAGCACTGTGCATGGAAGCCTTGTTGAACAATGGACAAAATATGTCAGCAGCCCATTTAAAGAAAAAATCAGAGTTTCTCAGATGATTTTAAATAGAAAAAAACCAGTATATCATCTTCAGAGACAAGTATGAGACAGAAAAACAAGTCTTATAATCTGAAATGTTTTTTGCAACATGTTTAACACTTGGCAGAGTAATGTTGATATTCTTGAACTGTTCCTATAAAACATTCGTAAAATCTCAAAAAGTTATTTTAGAAGGTATATGTGTATATATGTACATATATACATATATGTATATGTTTATGTGTGTGTACATTTTAGAAAATAACAGGTATATGTGTGTAGAAAATATACTTTCTTGTCTCACATTTTTATATCTTGGTAAGAATTACAACATTTGTTTGTAATTTCACAGCACATTTTCTTATATATGTGTATACATATGTATATATATATATATTTAAATTAGAAACAAGCTTGCTTGACATGTCAATCGAAGCTCCCTCACTCTCCCCTCCTCCCCTGCCTGCCACCAGCCCCCCAACCTCCCACCCCAGCCTTTCTCCAGTCCCCAGGGAGAGTGAGTCACAGCACATTTTCAAGAAGGCATGATTTAACTTGACTTTGCTTTTATTTTAAATATGAAAATGACAAAATATACAACAGAAAAATCGGTTTGACCTTGAGTTGTATGTAGAATAGTTTTAACTTTAAATAAAGTAATATAACCCGAAGCTTTTCATCTGTAGCTTCTTTAATGGTTTCTTCATTATTAAAAATATGGAAATACACTCACTTGATGTAGCTTATTCTCTATAGTAACAATTTTAAATAGGTGCAGTACCACAAAGGTTTGAAATCATGCCTTTTGTGTAGCCTTAAACAAACCTTATGGTGTAAACAGTATAGTTGCTAGTTGTCTTCTTTATACTATTTGTTTTGAGATTTGTACACAGCTAAAATTCATTCAGGCTGGTGTTAGAAATCTGAGGCCTACTGAAATGCAAATCTTCTGTGACAAAGACAGAACAGAAGAAATGACTTTACAAGATCCAGCTCCACATACAGGACTCCTTTTAGATGGAGGAGTTTCTGCTGCTGTTTGTCAGGGGCAGCCCAGAATGTTCAGGGCTGAGAGCTCTGATGAGAAATCAGTCTTTACACTGTAATTTGGGAATCATGGGTTACACTAAAATACAAATTTATATGCTTGTTTCAGGATTGAAGACCTTACCTTAACCAAACCCCTATTAAAATATTGATGTAAAAATTCCATAAAAGCCTGCAATGTTATAAAGGACATTTATCTAGAATGGTGAATGCGAGAGGGTGAGAGAAGGGCAAGTGGAAGAGTTTGAATGAGGGAGAGTGATTGATAGTGCGATGGGCGAGGAGGGTGAGTGTGTCTATTTGCGCTACGCATTTGCTTCCTGTGATGCTGTGCCCCGCCTGCTATTTTCACTGCAGTGACAAAAGCTGGAAACCTGCTCCCTTTCAGTTACTGCTGTCTCTGGAAATTATTTTAAATAAAATTTCAAAACAACACTTTTATAAAATGCGAAGGTGTTGTACTCCTCTGCCTGAGGTTTTCTCTTGAGGCACATCATGAGAAGCATATCTGGATTGGGAAGTGGCAAACAATCTCCATCCATAACTATCCATACAATCTGAGTAGCCTGAGTCCTTCCACATTTGAAAAGCTTTCTCATTTCCAAAGGACATTCCTGATGCAGCATTTGGGAGATGTAGTATTTCAGACAATGTTTAGGGAGCTAAACAAATCTATGTTCATCATTACTGTGACAATTATTGACAATCTGTATGACTTTAATACATCACTTATCTTTTTAGGAAACTGTTTCAATTCTATAAAATGGAGATGTTCGTACCTGGATCTGTGATCGTGTGGAGTCACAGATTTGGTTTCCTGAGCA